CAGCAGGAACTGCATTAATTGCTAAGGTGACCAAATACAGGATGATTCTTAGAATAATTATTTTAAAAAGCTTGTTCCAAGACCAGTAGATTTTTCTTTAATTTCAGGATACAAATCAAACAGCTCAATCTTGGAGTGGTCTTCCCATAGAAGTCTTTCATAAAGATCTTTCTGCTGCTCCCTGTGGTTTTCAAGGAGTAGATTGCCTTCCTGATTCTCTATCTGATATTCTAGGGTGGTCCACTAACTGTGTCTAAAAGCAGTATGTAGCAGCACGTTTGCCTGTGTCTTTCTTTTTCAGGATTGGATTGACTTAGTCATTGCAGCATCACCTCCAAAGGAATACGATGATGAACTGTAAGTTCATAAGCTTTCTTTCTCGGGGGTTTAAAAGGCTAGTAACAATAGTCTATACAGTTTGGGGTTTTTATTTCAAATATTTAATTCTTGTGGACTGTATAGCCTTCTGCATCACATGGATGCTAATTTGATAGTTATAAGTAGCTATTGTGCATTATAGCAGTGGTTCCCAGATTTTTCAAAATGCTGATTCTCAGAATTGGTTATACATAACTACACATTCATACTTTTGGCTTAAAGTTTGAGGGGTTTTGTGGGTCGTTTGTTTGTTTAAAAAAAAAGCTTACTGCTGTGTGGGTCATTTGCTGTGGTTCCATGGATCATAATTTGGGGAAACAAATGCCCATAAGCATTATTCATCACAACCAGACATTGAATTATCTTTTGTGGTTTTTTATTAATTAGATTGCAGTTACTATCCTTGTCTAAGCCAACCTAAGTATAAAATTTTCTAAAGAACTAAGAGATTTGTGTGTCTTGGCAATTTGTGACATTCACAGAGTCCTTTATTTAAGGATAGTCAGCATAGGTGTGAAACAGAAGAAGTCATGGCTTAAAGTGGGATAGAGGTATCATAGAATCATAGACTGGTTTGGGTTGGAAGGGACCTTAAAGACCATCGAGTTCCAACCCCCCTGCCATGGGCAGGGACACCTCCCACTAGCCCACGTTGCTCAAAGCCTCATCCAGCCTGGCCTTGAACCCCTCCAGGGATGGGGCATCCACAGCTTCTCTGGGCAACCTGTTCCAGTGCCTTGCCACCCTCACAAAAAATTTCTTCTTAATACAACTTGCTTTACTTGGGACAAACAGTTTCAAAACCAAGACCAATGTTTTCTAGCTTGACTGAAGGAAAAGGTTTCTTGAAGATATCCTTACTATTAAATAAAAAGACAGAAGAAAGCTTTGCAGTTATTAACCTGGACTCCTGCTCTACGTAGAGTACTAAAGTATGAGTTGCTGTAAATCAGTATACTTTCACTGGCTAACACCAACAGAAGATTGCTGTAGAATTGTGTTTAATACCTGTGCATAAACTAACAAGCAAGGAATAAACTATCACTGTTATTTTTGTTTTCATGTCCTGTGTATTTAGCCCTACTATTCCTTCATCAGCAGTCAGTCCCAACACCCACAGAAAGGTTTTTGAAGGCAGTGCGCCCGTGTACAGACAAGGGTATCTCCTGCAGCTGTAGCCACTGCAGTGTTCCCTCACGGTGAATAGCCAGACCTGGTTAACATGACTGTCCCTTGTGAGGCTGCGTTATTTTTTCAGCACGTGCCTGGCTGTTCATTGCATGCCACGCTTGCTTTTGTTCCTGGCATGCTGGAGTGTTCTTTGGGCTTTTGCCATGCCTGTTGGATTAAAATATAAGTATTTAATTTCTACTGCATAATGTCCCTTAGAAGTCCTCTGCAAAATTGGTTTATCTGCCAGGCTATAATATAAATAAGCCCTGCCTAAATGAGTGGGATTAATTTTTTTTTTCATTATCTGTGGACCACTGCTGTGACTTTGTAAGTACATAAGTGTTTATATATATATATAACTACAAATTGCTTCTTTGTTAAGGCTTGTCCAAAGAACAAGTTTCCATTTGTATTACATGACAATGTGCCTGTAAACAAGTATTCGTGAGTGTTTGGTTTTCCCTGAAGTTTGGCTGTGTTAATTTGTCACTATACAATGAGTTTGTCCCAAAGCTTATCCTTGTGTCACAAACTCGGTTTACTGTGTATGGTTTCTCTATGCTGTAACTACTGTAAGTACAGTAATAGATCTCTAGAAGAACCATGGTAAGTTTTCTTGTTGCATGTGGGTATTTTTAGTCTTAGTTATTACTTACAGTAAAAATCAAAATGAGTCAACTGGGATCTAATTTTATATAAAATAGTGCTTAACAGGAAAACTAAAAATTGCACTATGGCTAACAACATGTTTCACTATCTCTTTTTCTTCTTTTTTTTTGCAGGACATTTTTTTGAAGAAGCCTGCACTGGAGAAACGAAGTCTTTCCCCCTGCAGAAACCTGCTGCTCTGTAAATTAATAGGAAATCAATAGCCACATGAAATGCATCTTTATATGAAAGTAATGTGAACAATCAGACCTGTAAATTGAACTAGAGACATCAGATTTTTCAGGTAATTTAAGTAGTTTCAAATCATTCTGTAGACATACAGGAAGAAACTTTTGCAAGGTCTTTGAGGAGGACTGCCAGTGAGCATAGTTCGGTCTGTAAGAACTCAATCAATTTTTCCTATTTTGAGGGGCCAAATTTATCTTCCAGTTTTCCTAGAAATAGACACCAAAATGACAAACCAAGAAAGAACACAGATGTCTGTTCCCACATGCAACACTTGCGATTACACGTTCACAGGCCAGTTTGGGTGTGAAAAGGATTATATTTTTACTCCATAGATAAGTGATTTTCCATGGAGAAATGGGAATGTACTTAGGTAACTTCTGTTCTCACTCATATTCTTGTAGCTTTCTTAATGTCCATTTCTGTTGCTCCATTGTGAGTTTTTGACTATAAAAACCCTGCCAGTGGAAGAACCAGTAATACTAGGAGTGTTGGCATGATAAGGAATAATTTCAGTGATGCTTGTGCAGTATAAAGAATCTTCTCTACCAGCAAAGTAATTAGCTAGAGAGTAGTCTAGATAAAATCATTATGCGTAGTCACAGTTATACTAACAAATATTTGTGTTGGTGGTAAAAATTACTCCCTCGTGTAGGCATGGGTGGAAAGTTTGGGTGTGATTTACAGCCTGCAGTTACGTACTTTGATCTCAGTGAGGCTATATATGTCACTAAACTATGGAGGAAGTCACCAAGTGCAACACTTTGCTTTTGGTGACTGTATGTCTTCTGTTCAAGTAAATGCCTCAAGACCATAAAACCTATACTAACCTGACTTTAAATAAGTATGATTACAGTTGTAGACTTAGTAATTTGTTTATGTTCTCAAGATATCTCCTTAGGAATGTCATTGTCTTCCTTCCTTCCATAATTCTACCAGTTTGTATTCTGTTTCTCATATTGTGTTTAGATTTTTTTCTTACCTGGACTGATGAGAGCCATTTTATTGTTCTTTGGCATATCAAATTCTCACTGAAGTCTTGCCTTTTCAGGGTTTGAAACTTTGCTATTTTTCTGTGTTACAGAAAGAAATTACGTTCCTGACAACTCTGTACTTATATGGAGATGATTAATTACGTTTACTTTCTTCATTTGCAGTGTTGTTCCAGTATGCCAATGAATGTGTCTGGCAGGGTACACATGTTAGAATGTTAAAAATTTTAACTGTTACAACTAATCCAGAAATAAAATTGCATTTGCCAAATGGAAGCAGTCTTGTTTCCTCTTTCTCTTTGTGTTTGTACATCATAGTAATAGTTAATCTGCTAAAGTACACAGATTTCTGAGTTGATCTTTAATAACAGACCCATTTGCAACAGAATGCCACCCTTGTGGAATTCAAAAGAAAATTCACTCTGCACAGTAGGAAATTGTCATTTGGCTGAGCTGCAGTAATCTTTTACTGAACTTTTATGGGCAGATCTGGTCATTTGATAGTTGGCAAGCTACTGAGTGCATCTGCTCTTATTTTGTTTGCTACGTCTTTAGGTGCATCTACCCAGAGATGTACGCTTCTTAACCAACAGACTAATCCAAATGCATCAAGATTAGCACCAGAGGGAAAAATGCAGCAAGATGTGCACCTCCTGCTGCTTTGGTTCCCAGTTGCCTACATACTGCAACCATCTGGACTGTATGACAATACAGATAGATGAGTGATGCTATCAAATGTTCTCTTAAGGAATTCTATGTACCAGCAAATAGAGAGCCACAGTAAAGCGCCGGTAATGAACTTCAGCCTGCAGTCAGTGCTTGATTGTGCTAATCACTGCCTCAGCACACTGTGAAATATAACACAGAAAACTTAAAGGTTAGATATTAGAAATATTTTTACTGGTGTTATTTTTTCAGAGACAAAAGGAGCACAGAAGACTGAGCTGGAAAATCTGTAGGAGTACCAGCAGTTGAGTTGTAGTCTTGCTTCTTAGTCACAAAACTGTCTTTCTTCTCCCCATCTGCCCTGTTAACTTGATTTGCTTGACTACAGCTTAAAATGCATTAGAGGCCATTGAGGAAATAGTTCGTGCTCATTACTTTCTCATAAGAAAGTGTTACTTTGTGTGTTTAACCTGTGTTAGGATGGCCAAGTTGCTTCAGGCGATTGTAAGGAGGTGGTGTTAGAAAAAAGGAGGCTGAGACTTCTGAAATCTTAAAATGGTCTTAAGCCATTAGTCAGGTAATTTTTTACTTTTTCTGACTTTCACTGCACTGGGACTGGATCACATCTTTCATTTGCCAGCTAGCTCAAGGAGTTGGAGAAAGCTACAAGAAAATACAGTTTTCAAGCAACTTCCCTTTCAGTTACTTTGGTGTGTATGAGCAGTGTCCCAGATGTAAATCATTTAAACAGGTGCCCATTTGAGTTGCTACTGCGTTGTTTTCTGCTGGCTGTAATAGTACGTGTGCCTGTGCCTCACTCCAGTTCAATCAAGCCAGCTGTGAAAAGATAACAGTAGGGTAAATGGGACTTTCTCTTTTTTTTCAGCCAATGCATAGTTTCCATTGGGAGTATGGAAACTCTGACCTGATGGACAGAGCAGGAAGAAGTCCAAGTACTTCATTGACAGTATCATGAATGCTTCAAACTGCTTTTAACATAAGATGGTTTTTTGTTTCCCATTTGCTGTAATCTCAGAGGGAATATGTGTATTTTCTCAGAGCTGTTTGTTTGGTTAAGACTGCTAAGACCCACTATCTCTCCCTATGGAATAATAACCCAGTGAAAGAGTTTCTCAGAACTGTTAACAATCATTCTTATTCTCTCAGGAATTTCTGGGTTGTGTTAGTCATAGCGTTGGCTTCAGCATACCCTCACAGTTGCTGAACTGGAGCATGAATTACATTAGAGACTTGTGACTTTAACATCTGCTCTGTGAGCCTGTGCATGCCTGTGTGCATGCAAAAAAACTGTGAAGCCCTATGGATCAGAACCATGACATGCATTAGAGGGTAGGCAATACCATCGTTTATTACTCATATAGATATTAGCATTGGGAAGTCCTTGATCTATTTATTACTGCTATTCTACTACAGTAATAACTCATAATTTAGCCATTATTTATCATATGACCATGGCATCTTTTAAAACTTGTAAGTACATTTCAAAGAAGTTATGATTAAGAAATGCTCTATTCATAAACAAATCTATATAGGTAAATGAGAGGTGTGTGTACACACCAGTAAGATTTTTATTTTTTTATCAATTTAATTTGAGTAGCACACGTACAAATAATCTTAGCATTTCACAAATATGAGATTTAACCTCTGAAAATAATTAGGTTGTTACAAACAAATTATCATGGTTTCATGTCAAAGGTTGTATATTTGGTTTAAAGGAACTTAGTACACAACAGCCGATCCATGTTTTCCATATGCTTTAGCTGTATGTTGACTTTGATACAGCAGAGTCAGACTCAGGGTAGCTGCCGTGGAACTCTTAGGCACCTTTCACCAAAGAAACGTCCCCCTGGGATCTGTGGTGATGTAAACAAACTGTCACCTTTATGCCATCTAAGGACTAGGTCTAGTGTAGAGAAGTCAGCATTTTACCTATAAGGAGCTGGCCCTTAGGATTATGAATCTAAACCCCCTTATTATCAATTTACGATAAGCTAGTAAGTGTTTGATCCTGATACCAAGTTTGTCCTCTAGTGTTTCTCTGCCCATCTGCCTATTTTATCTTTTGCTGTTGTTCTCAGGGGTTTTGTGGGGTTTTTTTTCTGACCTTCAGAAATTTCTGGAGCAGATTCCAAAGTTCCCTTCTTGCAGACTCAAAATCTGAGAAGGCTCCAGGTAGGCTGCTCACAAGTCATGCAAACTGTTTTCATGGAGATTGACTAGGATGCTTTCTTTCTTCTTTCCTAAGGAAGGCAGCAAAAAGTTTGCTGCTGCTGGAATACTGGAGGCCTCTGCTGGAATATTTCTTCCTCTATTACTAGATCTGCATTTGCTGCATTATTGGAGGAAACAAATAATAGTACAGCAATTTGGTGGGGCTCAGGGTCTATCTATATTTATAACAAGGTAACGGGCTATTTTTGATCTTTGCTGAA